CACACAGCTGGGGTTCACAGGTTCGTAGCCCGGGGCCAGGAGCCCAACTCTGCAGGACCCAAACCAGGTGCCATGCCACAGGGCAGGGCCGAGGGGCTGGTGGCTCTTTTAGGGGAAAGGAGGGAGCAGAGGAGCAAGGGTGGACCCCTCGGCCCTGCCCAGCCGTGTGCTTGTTTGGCCAGGGGCCAGGGAAGGAGAGGAGGCCTCGGTCCTGTCACCCCGCCCCATTCGAGCCCCGGTCCTCTCCCTACTGCTCAGTGGCAGCAGTGACGGACCTTTAACGGGGGACTCTGAAGCAGACGTGAGAGCAAGGAGTCTATATACTGGTTCTGTCTTAAAAGGTGGGAGGATAGAAGGGCAGGATGGAGGACGAGGAGCAAGGCAGCTCCTGGGACTGAGGTGGCCTCTGTGGAGCAAAAGTCTTGGCAGGGAGGAGAACAGTATGGGGGTCAGGAGAGCCCGAATCTTCACAGTGGCCTCTGGGCAAACGTCAGCCCTGCCCCTTAAGCCTCACAGGGGTCAGACACCCCTGGGCTTCCCGGTGCCTTGATCCCCCATCCCCTACCCCAGAAGGAGGGCCCGGTCCATCAGGAATGGGGTGGGATGCCTCGAAGAGCAGGGGCAGAGTAGTGGGGGAGGGGGCTCAAGGAGGTGTCTGGGGACATCCAGCCCTTCCATCACCCTATTTTAATTCTCTGCACAGTCTCCATCACTGGGGAACATTTTGTGGCTATCCCTTCACTGCATGTAAGCCTCTTATAAGCTGGGACCTGTGACTCTTGTCCCCCGTGCCTGGCCCCTTTCCTGTCCTCAGTCTTTAACTGGTTTTGAGACCCTAGAAGATTTCCTTCCTTCCCTTTCCTGAGTTTCTGTTTCCCCTTCTGTTAAATGGCCAGGACGGAGGAGGCAGATGAGTGACTTCTCATTGGGAACATCAGAGACCCTCAGCCAGGCCCAGGCTCTCTACCCCACCTCTCTGGGGCTCCCCAAGGCAGTCTGTCTACTCCCATCACCCGGCAGACAGTGCTTTCCCAGCCTGGACACAGGCGGCTGCCACAGTCCTCCTGCTCTGTCCCAGAGGAGGGGTCAGGGCCGAGAGGCCTTTGGGGGGCAGACAATCCCCTCCTGCAGAAGGGAGAAGCCAGCCTGGGACCCTTGAGGAGGCGGCCGCACCAGACCCAGCTTTCTTCCTGCCAGACCTCCGCTTTTCACTTCTGGAAGGCCATTAGCTCCAACAGAGAGTTAGCGGTGCTATCGGTGTGCCCCTTCCCAGGAATAGGCACCCGGGAATTTCCTCTGGAGACTCTCTGACAGGGACAGCAGGCCCAGGCAGGACCCAAGGCTGGGAGGCCTCCCCCAGGAGGTCCAGGGTGGGGTACCCAAATCTCCACCAGCTGGCTCGCCCCCTCCCACCCCCGACTCCACCAGACCCCTCCCTGCCTCCCCTCCTCAGCAGCCCCCCTTCCCCTCTCCCCTGGCCACCTGGCCTCCTGGACTGCCCAGGCCATGGCCCAGGTCCACTATCCTCATCGCCACTACAGATACAGGACCCCAGCCAGCAGATTCCTTGACTTAAGTTTTCATTTGTCTTTCATGAATATTATACCCGTCCTCCCCGACCACCTCCCGAGGAAGAAGTATATTGAACAAGACACAAGACACAGATGCAGAAAAGCCCCCAGAGGGTGAGCTAAAGGGCAGCTGCCCCTTCCCCAAAGCCAGGGCCTGGCCTGGGCAGCTGAGGGACCCAGCCTGGCCATGAGGCCAGAGGCCTGAGTTTTAGATCCTCTTCTGCCTCAGAGGTCCGTATGACCTGGGTTGTGAATGTCACTTCGCCTCCTGGAGTGGAAGACCCTTGTGGTTAGGACAGGGACCTATCCTTTAAAGCCCCCCAAAGTGAGCCTGTCTGAGGTTTTTATAGGTCATCTTCAACCAGGAATGATGGGAGAATGGCAAGAGGTCATGGGGGCTCTGGCTCCTGCTGCAGGGAACCGCCCCGCCATGGACAGCTCCAACTCCAGTAAGGCCAGGCCAAGGTCAGGAGTCCCCCTTCCTCCCATGGGCTCCTTCCTCAGGGCCCAAGCCTCCCTGTAAAGCTGCCCATGAAGCCCCAAGCTCTTGGCCTCCTGTATTCAGCAGTGTGACTGAGCCCCGCCACCTGGCAGGCAAGTCACCAGACCCCTCCTTCTTTGGGGGCCTGACCTCTTCATCTGCAAAATGCGAGCAAGTGGGACAGAAGAGAGGTTCTCTCACACTCCCCTCCCCGGGGCCTTCCCTGGCAGGGAAGCAGGGAAGGGGCGAGGACAGATGGGAGGACGGGAGGTGGCACTTGAGGGACCAACATCCAGAAAAACAGGAGGCGGGTGTGGGGCGGGGGCTATGCTTTCGTGGCACCTGTTTTGGGTCTTTTGCAGAGCTGGCCCCTCCCCAGGTTTCAAGAGCTGCTTGTCAGATCACAACAGGGGGAATGTGGGAGTGGGGGGGGCGGGGGGAAAGGGAGTCTGGACAAACTGGCACATACACGACAGATGTTTGCTCAGAAAAATACAGTAAAATCGTCATGCAAATATAACAGGGAATCTGCTTTCTCACACCACTGGCTTCTCCGCCTGCTTGCCTTTCTGTTTCGCCAGTCCGGTGTGAGGAGGGGCTGGGAGGCAGGTCTGGGGGAGCTGAGGGAGGTCTGCTCTGCATATCTGTGCTGGCCGCCCCCCTTCCACTCCCCGGGAGAACAGTCCTTTCTTTGCAAATGTCGCCCCCAAAGTGAGCCCCGGGCTTGGCCCGTCCCCCAAGTGGGCGTGAGAGAGTTGCTCAGTTGCTCCCAAGGTCCCCCTTGTCCTCCACTGTCCTCCCGCAGGCCCTGACCCTGGCAGGAAGGTCGCTGGAGCCTCCCGCCCAGGGAATGGCACTAGCTCTCCTGGCCAGAAGCCCCCACGCGGTACAGGTCTTGGTCCCATCCCAGCAGCCACCCTCACCCCACAGTCACGCTCCCGAAGTCTCAAGAAACCCAACTGGGTGACAGGCCCAAGGCAGGAGTGTGGGGAGTACAGAGTGGGCTCCTCCCCTTCCTGAGGTGGGCAGGGCGCCAAGGGGCGCAGTGGCAGGTGGGCAAAGCTGCAGTTGTCCCCACCGCCCACCGGCCCACCTCCCCGCCACAGGTGAGGGGACACCCAGACAGTGTTCCAGACCCCACAGCCTCAGGACCCCAGATCTGCCTCTCAGGGCACACCCCAGGAAGCCACTAGCTCTTGAGAAAGGTGGCAGCCCCCTCTAGCCCTGTCTTCCCTCACCGCCCCCTGCCGCCCACACTGAGAGAGAACCCCCAGGAGCCCAACGGTCCCAACTGCCAGGCTCTGGATTGCCATGGCGACAGAGGCTGGCCAGGGAGGGGAGGGGCTCCACCAACCCAGCCTCCTCCTTCCCAGCGGGGGTTGGGGGTGCTCACCGTTTGTGCTTTGTTCGATGTTGGGTGGGGGTCAGCAAGGGAGGAGTGGCCATTTCCAAAGAAACACAGGAGCCCCTCAGGCCAGGGGATGAGGCAGGGACAGGAAGCCAAGAGGGGATGGGTGGGAAAGCCCTCCTTCCTCTGGGCAGACTGACATGCTGCCCCAGGAGCCCCTGATGGTGGCCAGGCAGGTGGGAGGCCAGGATGTGGGGGCGTAGGCAGGAAGGCCCCCAAGAGACCCCACCTCTCTGCTGCCCCCGGGCATCACAGTTCACTGCTGCCCTTCTGGGATGAATAGGGGTCCTGGAGGCCCGGAGAGGCTGGGGGGCCGGGGTGTGGGGGCCTGCACCTGAGACGTGGTGGCCGCTGGCCCAGCCGCTCTCCTCAGACCCCCTCAGCAGCTCCCAGGCTACTTGGAAGACACTTGAAGGGGGCTGGTGGAATGTCCCCACATCTTTGCTCCTCTCCTGTCAGCAGGACCTCCCACCTCTTCTGGGTGCTTGTTGGCGCGGAGGGGGGCAGTCCCCCCGTCCACTGCACACATGATGTCACAGCTCCACGCTCTGGGGACATGGCCATGAGGCTTTCTAGAAGGGAAAAGCACCCACCTGATTCTCAAGTCCCTCAGCCCCAGGAGACCACAGCCCTGGAAATGGTACTGGGTGGACAGAGGGTGAGGTCCCTGGGGGAACCACTGGTGGTGGGGGATAGCACTGAGCTGGGAAGTTGGGAGACAGACTCTAACCTGCCACGCGACCCTGGGGTTATCACTTCCTTTCTCTGTGCCTCAGTCTCCCCATCCATAAAGGAAGGAAATGATGCTCAATGTCCATCTGCTGCTAAATCTCCAAGTGACTGGTTCCCCAGCTAGGGGGACCTTTTCCCTGCCTCAGGGGGGCTTCAGTCCGTCCCCACCCCAGGCTCCTTTGCCCCCACACCTGTCCCTAGTCACAGAGCCCCAGACCCCACACCCTCTTCTGGCTTCCTCGCCTGCCCCCCTGCCCCTCCCCAGCCCGCACACCCCGGCAGAGTCCCTGGGCAGCACGGTAAAGACGACTGGTTTCGGTATCAGTGTGTAAACTTTAAGGAGAACATGTCCTTGTTTTCCTGTCCGTTACTGTCGGGTGGTGGTTGTTCACAGTC